ATGGGCAGATCACCTGAGGTCAGGAGTTCGAGACCAGCCTGGCCAACATGGTGAAACCCCATGTCTACTAAAAATACAAAAATCAGCCAGGCATGATGGTGCATGCTTGTAATCCTGAGGTGGGAGGATTGCTTAAACCCAGGAGGCAGAAGTTGCAGTGAGCCAAGATGGTACCACTGTACTCTAGCTTGGGCGGCAGAGCAAGGACAATAATAGCTCATGTGCCCTGAATACCTACTGGGTGCCAAGCACTCCAAGGGGAGGAAAGAAAGCAAGATTCCATCCTGACTCCAAAGACCACCCAGTCCAGTTAGGATCAACACACCAGGAAGTATAAAAGCAGCATTCCCGGGGTTGTCAGCACAGAGTTGTTCCAGTGGACAGGTCTATGCCAACCTACCCCAAAGTCTGAGGATGCTGAGAGGCCCAAGAAAGAGGCTGACATAATCCAGTTTCTCAGAAAGAAATATTTAATAGGGACTTAGAAACAGAAGCCATGTCTGTGACAAGATGTGGCATTACCTCTCAAATTCAAAAACCTATATACCATAGAGAAAGAAGTTGAAGCTAACACCTCAGGGAAAAACAAGAATGCTATGTGAATCTGCCTAAGGGCAGGGTTTATGGTTAAGGTTGTTTTTACCTAAGGGCAGGATTTACAGTAAGTACATGCTTTTACACAAGGAACAGTAGATACTATAGGAAACTGACAGGCATTCCTGGAACTGGGGTTAGTTAGAAGTCAACATGGCAGATCAGCATCCAAGATGCAGTTACTTTAGCCACCACACGAGTGCCCCTCAGCACTGAAGGGTGTTCATGGTGCGACTGGGAACAGTCTTTGGCCATGGAGTGCCTGTCCTTTTTTTTTTTTGAGGCAGAGTCTCACTCTGCCACCCAGGCTGGAATGCAATGGTGCAATGTTGTGGTATGTGTAGGAATTTCCTTCTTCTTTCTGCAACCTCCGCCTCCTGGGTTAAAGTGATTCTCCTACCTCAGCCTCCCAAGTAGCTGGGATTACAGGCACATGCCCATCATGCTCAACTGATTTTTGTATTTTTAGTAGAGACGGGGTTTCACCTTATTGACCAGGCTGGTCTCGAACTCCTGACCTCAGGTGATTCACCCGCCTGGGCCTCCCAAAGTTCTGGGATTACAGGCATGAGCCACTGTATCCAGCCCATGGAGTGCTTTTCTAGTAGCATCTCATGAGACTAATGCTCCAAGTGACACACTTGGGAAATGGTGATTTATGGCCTCTTGTACATGCTTGACATTATGTCTGGGTGTGTTACCAATGGAAGGTATCTGAGTTACCAGCAGTGACTCTGGACAGGTCTGCAGCAACCTCAATTCTCACCTCCTCAGAAGAAAGAATTTGACTGAGGGGCATAAGGTGGAAAAAGAAACTGAGGCAAGTTTTAGAGCAGGAGTGGAAGTTTATTTAGAACAAGAGAGAAAGGAAAATACACTTGGAAGAGACCCCCGCGGGGCACAGAGGTCAAGTGCGATATTTAACCTTGATCCTAGGACTTTATAGGCTGGCCCCTTTCCCATGCGTCTTCCCTTAGTGTGGCTGCCCGCATGCGCAGTACCCTCCTTACCCTTGGAAAGTGAGCATGCGCAGTGTGTTTAGGAAGTTGTACGCATGCCCATCTGACGCTTTCTTCCCTTTTCCAGTGGAGTACCTTGCAAGGTCGTACTCTGCCGTTTTGTCCCTTCAAGCACATGCCCAGGAAGTTGCTTCTCCCTGGCAGCTGCATTAAATTAACACTTAAGTGCAATAGGTGTGGACCATCAGGAAATGGCCTCTCCCTAGCCCCGGTTGCCAGTTTATCACTTTTAGAGAGGCAAAGCATTAGCTCCCGAACTGTCACCCGGCATTCCTAGTGGGTGGGGGACGGCGCTCTCCTGTTCTGCTCAGCCGCTCTAACTTCCTGTAGCAGGTGCAGCCTGGGAGGAGTCAGGGGAGCTGGAGAAGCCATGGAAGCCAGGGACGACATTGCCAGGTGGCTTAGAAGGTACACGTGGCAAAAGTCTTTGTACTGTTCATAGAGAAATTATTTCACCGAAATATTTTGGCCTTTGGTGTTCTGAGAACAGAGGACTTCTGTGTCCTGACCCCCTTTGGGTTTTCAGTCCCTAGCGTGTGGCATCAGCTAATAGTGTTTGTTCTGTGATTTATCTGCTCTTGCCATAGGCAAGAGTGACATAGAGTTAAGAGACCATCTGCTGCAGCTACTTACAGATGGAAAGCTGTCTTCTCAATAGTAACTCCAAAGGCCAGGTCATTCTAGTCTTTTTTTAAAAAAGAAAAACTGGTAAAATATACACAATATAAAATATATCATCTGGATCATTTTGAAGTGTATAGTTCAGCAGAGTTAAGTATATTTACACTGTTGTGCAACCAAGCTCCAGGATTTTTTCATCTTGCAAAGCTGAAATTTTGTACCCATTAAGCAATAATTCCTCATTCCCCGTTCCCACTAGTTCTTGGCAACCACCATTCTACTTTCTGTGTCTGTTGATTTTGACTACTATAAGTACTTCATGTAAGTAGAATCTCACGATACCCTTTTACGACTGGTTTATTTTAGGTAGTATAATCTCCTCAAGGTTCATCCTTGTTGTGGTATGTGTACAAATTTCCTTCTTTGTTTGTTTTTGAGACAAAGTCTTGCTCTGTTGCCCAGGCTGGAGTGCAGTGGTGCAATCTTGGTTCACTGCAACCTCCGCCTCCTGGGTTCAAGCGATTCTTCTGTCTCAGGGTCCTGAGTAGCTGGGACTACAGGCACACAACACCACGGCCAGCTAATTTTTGTATTTATTTATTTTTCTTTTCGAGATGGAGTTTAGCTCTTGTTGCCAAGGCTGGAGTGCAATGGCGTGATCTTGGCTCATCGTAACATCCACCTCCTGGGTTCAAGCGATTCTCCTGCCTCAGCCTCCCGAGTAGCTGGGATTACAGGTATGTGCCACCACACCCAGCTAATTTTATATTTTTAGTAGAGATGGGGTTTCACTATATTGGTCAGGCTGGTCTTGAACTCCTGACCTCATGATCCGCCTGCTTTGGCCTCCCAAAGTGCCAAGATTATGGGCATGAGCCACTGCGCCCAGCCTATTTCCTTCCTTTTTAGGGGTGAATAATATTCCACAGTAGGTATATGACACATCTTGTTTAACCATTCATGCACCAATGGATCTATGTGGTGGTTCCACCTTTTAGTTACTGCAAATAGTGTTGCTATAAACATGGGTGTATGAATGCTGTCTTCAAGACTCCACTTGCAATCCCTCGGATATATACACAGAAGTGGAATTGCCACATCGTATGGCACTTCTAATTTTTAATTTTTTGAGGAACTGCCATACAATTTTTTATAGCAGCAGCACCATCTTGCATTCCCGCCAAGAGTACACAGGGGTTCTAGTCTTTTAAATAGCTCTTCTAAGAGTGGAGTGTCTTCCCTAAATAGGTTTCACTTGAAGTTGGAAATACAGGGCCTTTTCTTCTCTGTGTCTCTTACAGCTTTCTGCTTCCCAAAATTTCCAGTGTGTCAACAGTTTTGATTGCAAATGGATCTAATTTTAGGGGCCTGATACAATGAGAAAACACTAGAAACCCCAAGGCAGATAAAGAAATCTGCAAGCCTCCACTGCCAGGGAGAGCAAAGCAAACTGGCCTGGTGAAACCTGCAATTTTGTGCATTTTTCTCTCTCGTCCACCAGAACCTCTCCCTTTCCTTTTAAGCTGACATTTAATTGATCTCCGAAGTTACTTGAATTATTTTTCTCATACATAAAATGCTTCTTCCCTTCTAAGGTAAATCATTTCAAACCGACATTTCCTCATGAGAATAAGCCAGAAGCACCCAAATTGCATAAATTTCTTATTCTGTGGCTCATCAAGCTAAAACCTTGAGGTGCAAATGAAACTCATTCCCAAAAGCCCAGTCCCAGAGAGGGAAATCTGGCAGATCCTTTTTCTCCAGAATATGCTCAGTTCCCTATGGCCTTTGTAGCAGGTAAGGAGAAATGGTTCCTGGGCTTTCAGCTGGCTGTGGGAAGGTCTTCAGGGACAGACTCCAGGCAGTGGTGGAGCAGGAAGTCCGAGCAGCTGGAGGAACTGTGGTTAGGGAATCTCCCCCGGGGCTGCAGCTTTTGCTCCATCTACTTCCTTCCGTGACAGCCGTATTCATTTCTTCACTCCCTGGCCAGGTTCTGCATTTCCCAGCTCTCAGGCCTCAAGGGCCTCTGCTTCAGGAGCGCTCAGGGCAGTGGATTGGGCTCCAGAGTGGTTGTGAGAAAAGCATCTCAGGTCCACTTCTGGGGATGTTTCAAAGACCCCCTCAGCATACTGCCGTGAGTCCAAGGAAATCTGACAATGCCAAGCCATCGCCAAAGTCAGAGAAAGCGTAGAAAATAAAGGCGGCTTCTGGACAATAGAAACTACTATTCATTCTTTTTTTTCCCTCCCGGAAAGGATAAACTTTCCATTGTCACCGCAAGCCAGAAGAAAATGGTGTTTATAGGGGTCAGATGGAAGTTCTCTCTGCTTGCATCTGCCTCAATGCTTGCCCTATTCAGAACCTGGCTAACTTGTTTTATTCTCTGAACTTTCCAAGACTGGCCAGATATTCTGAGGGCTTGGAGGACTCTATTTGATTTTGATAGAAGCAGCATCTGTGCGGTTGCCTTACAAACTTTTCTAGCCTCTTGCATGCAGGTGAGATTGATCAGAGCACAGGCTCAAAGGGCACGTAAGTAGTAAATTCCTTTGTCCTCATAGCTCGTTGAGGAGCAACAGAGCAGGAAAGAAAAACATTCTTTAGTGCACAGACTTGGGAAAGCCCCTTTCTTCAGTATTCCTGTTTCACAGACCACCAGGTATTTGAAAAGCACAAAGGGCCATGAAGGTCAACATTAACTGAGCATCTACTGTGTGCTTGGGTCTGTGTGAGGGGTTGTAACTAATAGTACGGAGATAGAGAGAAACTCCTGAGGAGGATTCCCGGAGTGACAATGGCTACCTACAGCCTGGCAAACGAGCGACTACGCGCCCTGGAAGACATCGAACGGGAAATCGGCGCCATCCTTCAGAATGCAGGTACAGTGATCCTAGAATTGTCCAAGGAAAAAACCAACGAGCGGCTTCTAGACCGGCAGGCGGCGGCCTTCACCGCTTCAGTGCAACACGTGGAGGCGGAGCTGTCAGCTCAGATCCGCTACCTCACCCAGGTGGCCACAGGGCAGCCCCATGAGGGCTCCAGCTACTCTTCGAGGAAGGACTGTCAGATGGCTCTGAAGCGAGTGGACTATGCCCGCCTCAAGCTCAGTGATGTGGCTCGAACCTGTGAGCAGATGCTGGAGAACTAGGCCAGGAAGGTGGACCCAGAGCTCAGAGAGAGACCATCGCCTGCACCATGGGAAAGAATCTGGGAACATGTAGGATGGGGAGCATGGGCACCTACATGCCCTGCTGCTCAAAGTACCCTTGAGGAGGCCGAGGCCGGAGGATCATGTGAGGTCGGGAGTTTGAGACTAGGTTGGCCAACTTCGTGAAACTCCGTCAAAGACAAAGGGGCAAATGGTGGGCATGGAAAAACTGAAGCCTGAGCCTACCCACAGCTATGCCCTGGCCTCTCCAGCAGGGTGCTCCTGCCCTGTACTCCACCAACACCCTGACAGGCTCAGACAGAGATGGAAACTCACACATCCAACCCACTTCCTCAAACACTTCATGCTCCTGCCCCAGGCTTCGCGCAGAATTGGCCTAATGAAGATACATTCTTCTTCACTGGGAGAGACAAGAACTAGAATTTTAATAATAAAAGCAACAACAATAAAAAAAAATAGTACGGAGATAAATAGAACAGGACACTTGTCTTCAGTTGTATCAATAACTAATTGCAACACACTAGGTACTTGCGGTAGAATGAAGACTATATTTGGTTTTTGTCCCTAGCTTCTGGCACAGGGCTCCTAAAACCCTTGGAAATCTTAGAGTAAAATTCCTTTTGTTATTCATAACCAGCTTCTTTCCACCTACCTGAGTCTATGCTATGAGGTGGACAGAGTGCGCTCTTAGAGAGTTTCAAGGGAGGAGTGGAAGTTTCAAACCCCCTCATTTCTGGGGAGAAAAGAAGGTGGAGACTGAAGGGATTCATCAGTGACCAACGGTTTGTCAATCATGTCCACATAATACAACTTCAGTAAAAGCTCTTGAACGAGGAGGTTTGGAGAGCTTCTGGGTTGGTGAGAATATGGAGCTGCTGGGAGGGCGGCTCCTGAGGAGGGCATGGGACACGCCTTTCCCACACGGCTCACTCTGCGCACCTCTTCCATCTGGCTGTGCCTGTGCAGCCCTTTCTAATAAACTGTGATCAATGACTGCATAGTGTTTTCCTCAGTTCTGGATCTTTCTAGTGAATTATCAAACCTGAGCAGGGATCTTGGGAACCCCTGAATTTATAGTCCGCTGCACAGAAGCATGGGTAGCCTGGGGACCCCATTTGCTATTTGCTGGCTGGTATCTGAAGTAGAGGCTGTCTTGTGGGATTGAGACCTTAACTTGTGGGGCCTGCACTAACTCTGGGGAGTGTCAGAATCAGACTGAACTGTAGGACATCCAGTTGGTGTCAGGAAGTGAGAGTCGTTGGAAACACAAAACAGTACTATAAATAGGGACTCTGATCTAGGTACTGTCACTCCCCATCCCCCATCATCACTGTTATGTTGAATGATATAAAAGTGCCTTTTTTGTAGATCAAAAGAGTTCAATAGACCTAGCATGGTGGCTCACGCCTGTAATCCCAGCAGCGATCTCTTGACCTTGTGATCCACCCGCCTCGGCCTCCCAAAGGCCTCCCTCCTGGCCAACATGGTGAAACCCTGTCTCTACTGAAAAATACAAAAATTGGCCAGGCGTGGTGGTGTGTGCTTGCAGTCCCAGCTACTTGGGAGGCTGAGGCAGGAGAATCACTTGAATCAGGAGGCGGAGGTTGCTGTGAGGTGAGATTGCACCACTGCACTCCAGCCTGGTGTAAGAGCAAGACATCATCTCAACAACAACAAAAAAAGTTCAATAACAGCAATTTCATATGATTCAACCCAATGCAATCTATTGCACACCTCCAAGGTGTGCTAGGCACAGTCCCACGTGATTTACCTGCATCCTCTCACATTCCTCATGATACTCCTGATGTAGGTACTGCTGTTATTCCCAGTGTACACGTGAGGAGACTGAGATTTATGAAGGTTAAGACAAAGGCCTGGGATCCATGGCTAGGGAGATGCAGAGCTGGACTTGCACTCAGGATGCCTGACAACAGACTCTGAGTGACTTTGTTTGCAAGGGCTGCTGTACCAAAGGATCACAAATTGGGTGATGCTTAAAATTACAGAAATCTGTGCCCTCACAGTTCTAGAGGCGATGCCTCTGAAATCAAGGTGTCAGCAGGGTTGGTTCCTTTTTGGAGGCATGGAGGAAGAGGCTGCTCCATGCCTCTTTTCTAGCTGCTGGTCCTTGATACAATTCCTTGGCATTCCATGGTTTGCAGCCCCATCAGTCCGATCTCTGCCTATTGCTATATGGCATCTTCTCTCTGTATATTTCTGTGTCTCTCTGTATAAGAACACCAGTGATGGGCTTTAGGGTTCATTGTAATCCAAAATGACATCATCTTTTCGGTTGCCGAGACGGGGTCTCCCTCTGCCGCCAAGACTGGAGTGCAGTGGGAAGATCACAGCTCACTGCAACCTCCAACTCCTGGGCTTAAGCAATTCTCCGGACTACAGGTATGCACAACCACAGCCAGCTGATTTTCTCATTTGTTGTAGACATGCGGTCTCACTGTGTCATCCAGGCTGGTCTCGAACTCCTGGAGTCAAGTGATCCTCCTGCCTCAGCCTCCCAAAGTGCTGGGAATACAGGCAGGAGCCACTGAGCCTGGCCAAAATGATCTCATCTTGATTACATCTTACAAAAACCCTATTTCCAAATAAGGACACATTTGCAGGCACTAGGGGTTAGGATGTCAACATATCTTTTGAGGGGACATGATCCAATTCACAACACTAAGCCCTTAAGCAGGAACTGTGTGGCTGCCGGATACTCTGCTGTCAACACACGTTAAGTATGCCTGTGTCCAGGCCGGACTCTCATCAGCTCATTAGCCTCCCGGAGCACTCAGGTCCTAGATGAGCTGGGCTGGTCAGGAGATGGCCACCTGCTAGCAGAGAGCTGGAGTGGAGGAGCTGGGCTTGGGCTCCTCCCTAGGGGGATGCTGAGTGGCATCCAGGTGGACCACCCATGAGGTATGGGCAAGGAGAGGGGCATTTGTCATGGCTGCCATGCACACACATTTCTCCCTGCAGCATGGTTTTGATCACCTTGACAGGAAAACCTCAGACTTAGAATCTGGGATCTGGGCTAAAGATGCTTTGTTTTTCTAGCTAATCAATTCTCTTGCGTTTTGCTAGTGGTAAGAAAGGTTTCAACAGTCACAGCTCAAAAGCCTGTGAGGAGCTCCTGGAAGACATTGTGTAAGTGCTATACAGCAACAGAGCAAGTTAAATGAGAAATAATTACTCAGTGAGCAGGATTCTCTGGCCTGTGTGACTGTGTGTTGTCAATGCTTCCCCCAAAGAATAGATGAGTTGTGAAATGTGTAAGTGTGTTGGTATAGCTATTGCAATGTAGGTACCGCAATCCCCAGAAAGAGTCATAATAAACAGCAGACTGTGGTTCCACACTGCTCTGCTGTGACATTTCCTGGGAAAGCTGGGAGTCACTGCATATCTACCTTGACCCAGGACCAGCCTGAGAGGTTCTTGGCCCACCGTGAGTTTAGTGCTTCAAGAACCAGATAGGAACCCATCTTTTTGAGCACCCTGATAGAAGTTGGTCCTGTCTTATCTTTTTGGCACAAAAAAATGGTTCATTTGCACTAACATGTATCCATTTGGTGATACTTGAAGTGCATTTTGTTTTTCCCCAGGGTTCTCATGAAACATTGCCTGAGTATTTAGGTGAGTCATGCTTCCAAGGCCAAGCAAAGAAAATTGCCAAAGAACAACAGTTTCCAGGTTTCACTTAGGAAGAAATTTTCCTTTGGTCCTTTAACAATGGATTCAGTTACTAGAAACCCGAGTGCATAGTCGAAGCCTCCATGTGCTATCTGTTAACACTGCCCTTCACCTTTTGGGCCTCTGCCCCAGGGCTGGCCACACAGACTCTTTCTTGGGCCAGACTGAGGTTTCTCAAGTGTGACTCAGCCTGGGGATTAGGTCCAAGCAGAGGAGATAATTGTTTCTAGTCTGGTTTCTCCTTGGGAGGAGGAAGTTCCCTTAACTTTCCTCTGTCAACTTTTATACCTTCTGCCGCTGCTCCCCCACATTCTCCAAGCAGGGTCCTTGGATCTCCGCTCATTCTGTGCTTCCCCCTCCCACTTCACAGCCTGTATGTGGATGACTTCAGGATCCCAGCACCAACCTGTTTCCCGAGGACCAGAGTTAACATCTGCCTGCCCGCCAGCGATTGTCACCCAGCATCTCAAAGGCAACATTTTAAAATCAGATTTACTCTTGGTGAATTCTGTTCTTCCCACTTAAAACCACGTGGCTCATCTTGAGTGATAAGCTATCTTCAGTCACTTGGGCATGCAAGTTCAACCTCCTGTGGGTTTGCTAAGCCTGGGTTTCTCCCTCCATTTCCCTGCTCCCCTTGTCTTGTGGGCCCATTCTTACCATCTCCCCGTGGACTACAGCAGTAGCTTCCCTCCTCACTGGTCTCTGCTTCCTCACCGGTCCCTGCTTCTTGTGCCTTGAAATTCTTCACAGTGGCTTAATTGATCCTATTAACTCACAACTCTGCTCGTTACTTTCCTGCTAAAAAACTTTCTAGGGCTTCTCTCTTCTGTATCAAATGAAGGGCCCATTCCTCAGCCTGGAATGAAGGCTATTCTCAAAATGGGATCTTCTTAGGGAACACACATTATTTTCTTCCCATGTTCTATGCTTCAGTCAGAATTAGTATAATCTACCTTTTTTGATGTCTGGGCCTTTCCTCAGAATCTGTTCCCTGGAATCCCCAAACTCCCATTCCCAGCTCCGCCCATTGCATCTCCAACCTTCCAGGCCACCTTTCCCTCCCTTACCGAGATGAGATGTCGTCACACTCTGAGGCTTCATTTGTGGCATGTGCACATAAAGATACATATATGTGTACTTGTGAGTTCCCTGCAGGCTCGTCTCTGGGATGGGCGCTTCAGCCTAGCAGATGCATGGTGTGCAAAAGCCAACTACATGTGCGCAGGGCCAACATCTCACCACTTCGGGGCGATCACATCCTTGCTTTCCCTACTCTTCTAATTCAGGGACTGGCAATAAATTTGGCATAGAAAGAATGACCCTGTTCCCCAACCCTTACTGACTTTGTATTTTGTTGGAGGCAAAAACAAATTTCCAACATTCAGGTCAACGGCAATTTAGAATTATTTCTGCCAGTTGGAAAAGAAAATATTTTCTTTTAAAATTACTTTTTTTTTTTTTAACTTGAGAAAATTTGAAAGCTATAGCCTTCCAAGGTAACAGGATACCTAACACACACACACACACACACACTCACTCACACTCCCTCCCTCCCTCCCTCCCAGCCTGGCATTATGCAGCTCAATCCTGTCAGGCTGACCTAATCTTTTGTGACAGAGCAGCAGATCTGGTAGATCAAGGGGGGAAACAATAGTTGGAATTTATCTTTGCTGGCTTCGAAACTTTTGATTCCTGGGTCCCACTCAATGTAATTATCACTAAATCGGTTGAAAGGCTAGAGAAAGGGAGAGTGCCAGTATGAGCT